GTACCTCTTCTCCCTTCTGGATTTCTTCTGTAGGAATAATTAGCACCATCGGAAATCACCGTGTATCTTGTTCATTTACTTTTCCGGCTCCCATTTGTTTGGTTTGCTGCAAGGCCCCCAGTACCTGGAGCCCTGCCTGGGACCTACTGAATTTTTCCCCAGGTTATTGGGCACTGAGGTTAGACACAGGCAGTGTGAAAGCCCAGGGGAGGAAGGCCTGACCCCAGCCAGGGGGAGGGGCAGGTGGGGGAGGGGCTGCTCCTAGAGGGGATGCTTCCCCAGTTTAACAGGTGTCACCCTTTGGCCAGACCACGCCGGCAAATCCCAGGTCAGGTGAGTCACTCAGGGCAAACCTCTCAGCCTTACAAGACACACGTCCTGCCTCAGTTGGCCCACCTGTGATTGTACAAGGTTCAGAGGCTGCCACTGTATGGCCCCAGGCACAGGGCACAGGCTGGGTGCATGATTCACAACAGTGGGTCAGACGCCACTCCCTACAGGCACCCTGACCTTTGAATTCCCGCCCAGCCATCTGTCTCTGCTAGGCCTATGCTCCAAAATGCACATGTGTGAATTTCTCAATCCTGGGTGGCAGGCAGAAGCATCTCAGTCAAATGTCAGCAATTTCATGTGGGTCATGCAAAATGGCTAATGGGATACATTTTTTTAAAAGACATAAAAAATGAAAAATGAACTATGTATCAATAAACATGCAAAAAGAAGTTCAAAATCTACTTGTTAGGGAAATGCAAATTAAAACCAGAATGAGGTATCACCCCACACCCACTAGGATACCCTACCAAAACAAAACAAAACAAAACAAAACAAAACAAAAAAAGTTAGTGTGGGTGAGGATGTGGAGACACTGGAAAGCTTACGGGCTGTTGGTGGGAAGGCAAATTGGTACAGCCACTGTGAAAGACGGTATGGCAGTTTCTCCAAAACTTACAACACAGAACCACCATGTATGACCCAGCAATCTTACTTCTGGGTCTACACCCATGGAACCGAAAGCAGAAGTCCAAAGATACTGTACACCCACATTTACAGCAACATTATTCACAACCAAGCAGGGGAAGTAACCCAAGTGTTCACTGAGATCAACAAAATGTGGTCTATGCAGCCAAATGATTATTCAGCCTTAAAAAGGAAGGAAATTGACACATACACAGGAATGAATTTTGCGGGCCGTAGGCTAAGTGAAATAAGCTAATCACAAAGACACATACTGTATGATTCTACTTATATGGGGTATCTAGTCAAATTCAGAGAAACAGAAAGTAGAATGGTGGTGGCCAGGGGCTGGAGGGAGGAGAGGGTCAACAGTTAGTGTTTAATGAGCAGTTTTAGTTTCGCAGGATGAAAAAGCTCAGGAGTTTGGCTGTACGACAATGTAAATATACTCAACACCACTTAGAAATGGTTAAGATGGTAACTTGTATGTTATGCGTATTTTATCACAATTAGAACTAAACATTTTCTTGAAAAGGGAGTACATAGCTTCAGGAGAAACAAACTTTGGCTCCACAATAAGGCAGTTATAAAATTTTTAAAAATAAACAACATAAATTCTGTAGCTCTAGAATGTTCTTGTCACATCCCAAAGCATCATCTTGAAAGCTCCCACCTCAAAGGCCAAAGCACCCAGCAAGACTCAGTGCCCCAGCACCCCACAATCCCTCCACCAAGCCAGCCCACTCCAGCCTGAGAATCCAGAAAACACCCCTTCACCCACTTTTCTAATTGAGTTTTATTCCAGAACAAATGGGTTTTACAAAAAAGCTGATTTTAAACCCAGTACATTTTCCCACTGGTAATAGCACCATCTCCCTTCAACCCATAGCCCAAAGAAACTATGGCACGGCTGGGCTGGGAGTTTGGCGCCGACTACACACTTTGAAGGACTCCAGAACAAAGTGTGGAGCCAGGCCAGCAGAGGTCAATGCCTCAGGCGGCTCCCTGCCCTGGCTCCCTGCCCTGCAGTCGGGGAGGGAGCTGGGGACAGACAACTTGGAAGTAGTGTGGTTTCAGTAGTGTCTCTCAGTTCCTGGCCCTGCTGCTGGGGTCAGACTCACATAAGAACCCTTGTCATTTCCTGCACACAGAGGAGGGAGATGCTGAGTGTACACAGGTCGTCCAGCCGCAGGGCGCAGCGAGGACCGGGAACCTCAATGCTATGTCATCAGCCCGCCCCCACTGGAGCAGCCAAGGGAGGACAGCCTTGTCGCAAAGTCACTCAACTCCAGGGGCGTGGTTCAGATGTTACCCAGAAGAGGCTGAAACGGATCCTTAAAGAAAACACAGCGTGCCAGGCACGGTGCCGAGCACTCAGCACTTGATCCCCAGGACAACCCTATGAGGTAGGCTGTAGCATCATCCCCATTTTACAGAGGAGGAAACGGGCTCGAGAGTGAGACTTTGCTCAAGGTCTCAAAGCTATTAAGTGGCAAGCAAAGATGGGGCTCAAAGGTCAGTGTGGACCTGAGCTCTTGGTTAACCTCAATACTCCCAAATTGCCCCTTGGGAAAGAAGGAAAAAGAGGTGGCAGATGAGATCCTGACAGAGAACCTATCCAGAAAGTTGGAGAAAACCCAATGACCACAGCAACTGTGGGTCAAAGTGCCCGAGGGGACACCAGCCCGTGTGTGGACATGGCTGCCCCAGCCTGGCCCTCGCCCCGCGGACACGTCCTTGGCGCCCCCTACACACTGGTGGCCCTGCAGAGGGGTCCCAGAACTCAAACTTGTCTTGTTTCTCAGGCTTGTGCCTGAGTTGGGTCAAAATTAATACGCCACCCTCTCCATCCAAAGTTCACTCCCCTTCCCCCGCTCACAACAGTGCCTGGTGAGCCCTGGTGCCACCTCCCCACGAGCCTGGGCGCTCTGCTGTCCGGCACAGCCTAGCTGGGTTCCTACTATGGCGACAGCCAGAGTTCTAGTTCAGACAGAAAGGAAGGGAATGTCCCACAGAGTGGCCTCAACTCTACAGGTTCAGGGACATATTCATTCTGAACCTGACCACGCCCGTGGAGGAAGAGGCAGAGGAAAGTAAGAGCAGAGAGCTTTACCCCAAGTCACGGAGCTGAGTGAACACCGCAGGGAGGAGACATCACCCGCCAGGACAGCACAGCACGGGGGTGGGGAAGGCCTGCCAGCACACGGCCTCCTCCCGCTGGGTCCTCCAAGCTTGCCGCCCTGACGTTTTCATAATGTCTGTAAAGTGCCATTAGCAAACCACAGGGCTGGGGGTGGGGTGGGGGGGGTAAGTGCCCACAACAGCCCTGGGCAGAGGGAGCCAAGAGGACAGATGGTCCCAACTCCCTGGACGCCAGCAGCCGGCTGGCCGCATCCTGCCCTGCGCGCCGTGCTGTGCCCAGGGCTCTGCTGGCCCCCCCCGCACCCCACTCCTCCGCTCGGAGGCTGCCTGGGGGCCTCTCCCGCCTCACTCCCTTCTGTCCCCTGCCTCCCCTGTCCCCCCGCGGGCGCCCTGGGCCAGGTCCTCGGGCCAGTACTGGTCCTCCATGTACTGCTCCATGTCCGTGCTGCTGTCCGGCTCTCGGTCCTCGGGCTGGGGCGGGAGGCTGACGGCCTCCTGCTGCTCCCACTGCGCCTCCACCAGCCGGTAGAGCTCCATGGCCGTCACGGCGTCTTCCACGGACGAGTGCCCGTGCTGGCCGGCCTGCGACGACAGCCCTCATCACCGAACGCGTCCTCTCGGGACGGCGGGGGGCGGGGCTGGGTGCCACTCGGGAAAGCAAGTTACTGGCTGCCCCTGAGGGAGGCCCCACCTCTCGGGCTGCCACAGGTGGGTTCTGTGTGACGTGCAGGGACAGAGCCCGGAACTGGGTGGGGGACAGGTCTGAAAGAGCCCAGCCCGCTAGCCTGCGGCCGACTGTCACAATCCGCTGGGGACGAAGGACGGCGAAGAGAACACCCAGGGCTGCCCGTACGTGTGGGACACCGTGCTTTACCCAAGTCCCCTGGACGGGGAGGGGGGGAGGAATGACAAGCAGCCTGGAGGTACAGCCGCCTGCCCTGTCCCGGGACCCCTCCTCGCTCGCACCACCTGCTCCTGTCCCACGCACCTGGATCTTCTTGTGTAGCAGCTGCAGGGCCAGGTCCTTCAGTGAGACCCGGGTGCGGGTGTGGAGGCCAGGCTGGTGGAGGAGGCTGGGCACATAAGTGGTGTCCCGGGTCTGGCTCCGAGGGTGGACGTACTTGAGGGCCTGGAAGTCATTGTGGAGTGCGTGCCCCACCACCACCTTGCCCTTCAGGAGCTTGAGGATCTGTGAGCAGACAAAGGAGGCGGGGAAGGCCCCACTGTCAAGGAGGCGCAGGCCACGTGCTGCCGTGCTGCCACCCTGACCACCAGGGCGTGGATCCCTGCGAAGGGTGGCAGCATGGAGAGGGGAGCCGCAAGCCCCACACTCAGCCACGCTGCCTCAAGTCCAAAGCCTGGCCCCTCGACTTGCCACGCCCCAGGGGCGCACATCAGCTCTCTAACCAGTAAAAGTGCGCTCTCCACGGGGTGGTTGGGCGCATGCGAGGAAGTCACACGTGGAGTAAGTCTCCTAGTGAATCAATACAAGCAACTGTGTCCTGCTGGCGCAGGCTCTCCCTTCTCAGCCTGGGAGACATCACCCCCCCCCCCAACTCTTGCCCGTCAGGAGGCCTCCCCCACCACTGCCCCGGCAACATGAGGACCCTGTGGTTCTCTCCTGTAGTGGAGCGGATTGGTCACATTTGCTAAGCACGCCCTTAGCGCTGGCAGTCTATCCCCCGGCCCTCCAAGGCAGCTCAGCTAAAACACCAGGGACCATGTTTGACTTGACGAGTGAGGCTCCACGGAAGCCTCACAGGAGCTGACTGACAAGAGACCCGCTGGCTGACGTCCACAGACCTGTGCCTGGCCCTGGAGATAAGCCCACAAGCAGCAACCTCTGTGAGCATCAGCAGACACGGCCTCTCTCCTTGGGATTCTGCCCCTCCGCCCCCCGGCCATGCAGGACTCCACTTCCCACCCTGGAAGCCGTTGCTCTCTGGCTCAGTGCTCACCACGTGCACAATGTGCGCCTCTCTTCCCTGTCTTCTGCCATCCTCGGGCCCCAGGGAGGCCACGTCCAGGCCCCAGGCCTGCAACACCCCCCAGCCCTCGGCACTGAGCCCAGCTCTCCTTATCACCTGCCACGGGCTCCCGCCGCACGCTTCTGCTGGCCAGGTCCGGCTTATCACTACACCCAGCTTTCCCAGCAGATGGAGAGGGTGCCATTTAGACTTCCGTGGTGGGAACATGCCACCACACTCCAGTCACACCGCCCCACCAGCATGCGGTGGGAAGGGACCAAGCACACTCTGCACGGGCTGAGTCCGAGCAGACAAGAAACGGTCCTGTTCCTGGAGCCCCACCAACCAGGCCAAGGGAAGCACCAAGGAGCTAGAGGGTTTGCCGCAGGCCTCCCTTCCCGTTGCTAATACGCCCCAGCGATACGCTAGGTAAATCATCTCCAAACTTTCTGAAGGCCATGCTTAGGCCATATCTCATGTGAAAAAGGAGGACACCAGACCACATGTACCAATATTTCCCAAATTCACCTAAACCCAAGAATAACCCAGAAACACTAAGCAGTTCTGCTATAATGCTTATTTTGAAAATGCATGTTCCGACATGATTGAGATATTAGGACACTATTTGAGAATAATGCAAAATTTCACCTTTACCTATGCATGATTTTGCCCGTGAACAAAGAAAACTGCACCTGGGGGTGCCTGGGTGGCTCAGTCAGTTAAGCGTCTGCCTTCGGCTCAGGTCACGATCCTAGCATCCTGGGATCAAGCCCCACGTCGGGCTCCCTGCTCAGTGGGGTCTGTTGCTCCCCCTGCTCGTGCTTTCTCCCTCCCTCTCTACCTCTCGAATAAATAAAATCTTAAAAAAAAAAAAAAATGCAAGAAAGAAAAAAGAAAACTGCACGCAGCTAACCTGAGGCACGTGGGAAGGCACAAAACGCACATGCCTCCAACAGCCCGCAGAGAGCTCACGGTTCACCTGTATGATGAGCCACCTCCACTTGCACCTGACGCCACCACTGTCTCATTTCCAGGACCTCTGGGACCTCGCCACCATCACAGAAACCGCAACCGTCCTGACACCCACTCTCACAAGCAGCCACCAGGACGTTTTCAGTGCCACCAGGACATTTTCAGTGCCACCCTTACTACTGACGTCCCAAAGTCTCTCGTTTCCAGTGGCTAAGTGGTGACTCAAACCCAGGGCTGCCCTTCCCTGGCCATCTAGGCTGTGCAAAATGGGGGCTACCACTGTCATTAGGTTTCTAGCTTGTTGTCTTGGGGGTGATTTTATTAGGAGGTGTTTTGAGTGTTGTGTTCCTAATTCCATGTTCCCCATAAGCTCTGAGGTTTTCGTTGTGCAAGTTGGCACAGCATGGTTTTCAGGAACACACACATCCGAGCCGTCCCCACGCCCACAGGGCTACGAGATGAGAATCTCCATGGAAGGATCTGGGGACAAAGAGCTGAGATTGTTAACAAGGCTTTAGGGGCTTCCTACGGTCAAGCACAACTGGGAATTCCTGGCACATCAGTGCTGTCCCAACCACTAATTTATCTTTTTCAAAGCACTGAAAAACTAAGAAAATATATGGAAACATTAAGGCCTGAAGGTGACAGGATTGTGGGCCTTACAAATTCTAAACAGATACATAGTACTTTTACAACAGAAAAGAAAATGCAGGGGCACCTGGGTGGCTCAGTTGGTTAAGCGTCTGCCTTCGGCTCAGGTCATGATCCCAGAGTCCTGGGATCAAGCCCCACATCGGGCTCCCTGCTTGGTGGGGAGCCTGCTTCTGCCCCTCCCTCTGCCGCTCCCGGCTTCTGCTCTCTCACTCTCCCTCAAAAAAAAAAAAAAGAAAATGTAACACGTGAGCGGTTCTACACCTTACAATCGGCAGTCTTTCCACAAATATTATCACATTGGACAGCCCAACAATCCTGACATGGAGATGGGTCAGGATTTTAGGCACCCTTGTCTATGGAGAAGGAAGCTACAGTTCAGCAAATTTAAGTAACTTTCCCAAAGTCTCTTGTTTCCAGTGGCTAAGTGGTGACTCAAACCCAGGGCTGCCTTTCCCCAGCCATCACCCATCCACACAAGCCCCCACCTCCGCCCTCACCTCTTTCTGGGCCACCTGGAAGGGGATGGCCTTGCGCATGTGCTGCCGAGTGATGCCACTCCAGCGGGTGCGGTAGTCCACGATGGGCATCTCGGGCCGGATGTACTTGTCATAGAGGACGTCACCATGGTAACTCACCACAGAGCAGCGGGCCAGCTCGCTCACCCGCCCTCGGGGTCCTGTGCCCACCATCTCGCAGTCAATAGCCACGCACTTGCTGGGCCAGGGCCCCGCGGACTCCCTGGGGGTGGACTTTCTGCTCCACGAGGCACCTCCCGATTCATTCCTTAGACGCTGCATCCCGCTGCTGGTGGCTTCAGTGCCCTGCAGGGCCACCAACGGCGTGGGCAGTGCGGAGGATCGCGGCTCCGGGGGCATGCTCAGCAGCCCCTGCTCCTGCAGCAGCGCCTTCCGGGCCATGAATCGCTGGTGCTGTCGGCTCTTCCTCTTGTGCTTCCTCCGGAGCACATCCTTGGCATGCAGGCTAGCCAGCGAAGGGCACAGGCACCGCGCAGACTCAGGGCCTTCCCGGGGTACCATCCCAGTCAGCTCACCGCTCGGGGCAAGTGAGGCCTGGGGGGGGGGGGTGGTGATCTGCCAGCAGGGCGGCGCTCTGCAGAGAGAACACATGGGACAGAGGGACTCGGTGAGAGGTGTGCCCCGCCGCCCCATCCCTGCCTCTGCCTGCAGGGCTCATAGCAGCACCGCCCTAGAGCCCTATGCTTTAGCTCCCACACTGAGGCCAGGACCTTGCTGAATCACCACTGCACTCAGTCAAGCCCCTGTGCAAATCACTGTTCTAAGTACTTTACAGGGAATCACTAAATATTCCCAATGACCTGAACCACAGATAAGAAAACTGAGCACAGAGGTTAAGTAACCTGCTCAGGTAGGAAGACACACGAGCTGATGTGAACCCAGAATCACGGTCTCGGCCTCCAAGCCACTGCTTACCTCCACGAGCATCAGCATCAACAAGTTTTAGAGAGGCACAGATAGGGGAAAATAAAGCCTACAGAAACATATATATACACACACAGACACACATACAATCTTTTTAATTTTTTAATTTATTTAAAAATTCATTTATTTATTTAATTTTTAAAATTGATCTTTAGTAATCTCTACCCCCAGCGTGGGGCTCAAACTCATGACCCCGAGATCAAGAGTCACACGCTCCTCCGACTGGGCCAGCCAGGCAACACCATCCCAGATTTTTGAAAAACAAAGAATCCGTTGTGAAAGCATAGGCCCTCAGAAACTGGAGAAAAGAATTCACGAGAGGCTCACAATAGTTGTATTTTTGGTTATGTGTTGACCAAAATAAGGTAATTTATTAAGTGATTTTCTACTTCACTCATCACAACAGTTTTCAATAGCCAGGCATGTGGCTCAGTCACCACAGCCTCCAGGCAGGGGTACACTGGTAAACCGGCTCAGCTCACAGAAAGGAGAAACAGAAAAGTGTCTGCAGGTCCCTCCATCACTGGACACTGGAAATGTGTGAAGTTCGTGTGGGTTTGCAAATCCCACGCAACAAGGCCAGCAGCTGCCCAAGAGCGAGGGGCCGTGCTTAGAAAGCTTCACTCACTTGCTAAGTCAGCTGGTACATTTTTAACAGACCAGAAAACCAGGACTTTCAAGTAGGCAGAGCAGGGTTTAACTCGGCTCTTTAGAAGTTACCTGACCTGCTGAGCTTCTGCTTCCTTGCATGCGAAATGGCCCTACTACCCCCTTTCCTGCTGAAGACCAGACGACACAATGCACGTGCACTTGCTCTGCATACGTTACATACAGGCGGGGCTCTTAACTACCTGCTCCCTTTCCCCCAGAGAGGGTAAGACTCTCCCCAGGTTGGTAACCAGCTCTTCCCAGGCCAAAGCTGCCCCGGCCCGGCCTCACTGCCCCTCCCAAGCCACAGGCCTTCCCCTTACTGCTCTTCCCCCTCACACGCCTTCCTCCAGGAAGGCCTGCGGAACAAGCCTTCATCCCACTGGGTTGCAGAGACGTCCTGAGGCTCCCTGGGGTCCCAGCTGTGCCAGGTGCTGAGCACAGAGTAACAAAGGCAGATCCTGGACTCCAAGAAGCTTAGCCTCGCCGCAGAGACAGCAACAAAGCACAAGGCGTGTGCAGGGCTGGGTCAGAAGGGCTAGGGAAGCAGAACAGGCTGGAGGTTGATTCTGGGAGCCTTGCTGGAAGAGATTAAATCTCAGTGAGGAAGAAAGAGCAACCCACCAGCTGACAGGGAGATGAACTGGTGGCCATGTGAGGGGCAAATGCCGGAAAGAGAAGGAACCCAGGGCTAAGGAAGAGGGGCCCACCAGTAGCCTGATGCCACTGGGGCACAAAGCACAAGGTGGGACTCAGCTGGAGGAACTGTCCCTCTTCCCTTTTTACCACTTCACCTTCTGTCCCCACTCTGGGCAGGCCACCACACACCCTGGTGGTCCTACCCTAAGCCCCTAAGCTGGTATCCCCAGACTGGTGTCTGCTGATCAACTGAAGGAGTCCCAGAGCAATGAGGGAAGTCACTGACTTCCTGACCCCAGACATTTACAGTCTAGCTGGGGAGCAAAGAAATTCACCCCTCCATGCCTGACAGCACAACCACAGAATTTACCACACTTTAAGACAACAGTTACATAGCGTCTACCTCAAAGCGCTCTGAAGGCAGGGAGAGAGCCGTGTGTGTCTTTGCCCCTCCCCCAACAGCCAGCCCCAGACCTGGCATCGGGCAGGTCCTCTCCAGAAGTGTGTGAAGGGAGCTGAAGCTGGGCCTGCTACCTCCCAGACTGTGGGGTAGACAGAGCTGAGAGGTGACGGGGAATGGTGGCACGGAGACCGTCAGGCTCTCACCAGGGTGTGCTAAGGATGGGAGCAGTGAACGAAGGACAGACTCACCTGTCCGAGTTCTGAACAGACAGAAACGCTGGGTCAGTGAAGGGTGGCAGTGGAGGGACATGCTGAAGGGTTTCAGGAAGGCCGGCCAGGAGCACAGAAAGGGAAGGGCATCCAGAGAAAATCCGGGAGGCAAAGCACCTGCACTGTGAGAGGGCAAGGAGGCTGCTGGAACATTTGAAAAGGAGGTCGTGGGGGAGCCGAGAGGGTGGAGGGAAGAGTGAGAGACCACTGTTTCTGGAGGGGGATGAAAGTTTGGGTGAAATCCAGGGATTGATGGGGAACAGGATCCCCACTGCCTTACAGGAAGAGCTCTGGAGAAGAATCTGAACAGCAGTGGCAGAGATGAAGAGGCGTGGGGAGGAGTGCTACTTGGGTGATGCCAGGGCGAGGCACAGTGACCCATCCTGACTCATCTTCCCCCTGGCTTGCTCATCCACTCCCCAAGAAACCTTCTCCCTTCTAAAAAGTGCATGTAACTATAATCGACATCCTCATCTCGACAGGTCACATATTAGAGCTCACCAATACAGAACCTCAATTTGCCCCAGCCCAGCAATGGGAAGAACAGGGCCCCTTCCCTTCTTTGAGAGGGCGCCTGGTTCTGCAGGTCAGGAGCTGAACCCCGGAGCAGGGTCGGTGGCCTCCCTGACCCTGCTGGCAAGGTTTCAAAGAAGCCAGAAATTCAGTTCCCTGAGAAAAAGTGGCCTTGTGTTTCGAGGGATGAAAACAAGTCCTCTTCTATAGGCCCTGACCCTGCTGACAGGTCAGGACCAACAATTAATTATCTAGGACATGCCCCGCCCATCCTGGGCCCCAGTGGGAGCTCAGCGAAGTCGGGGAGAAGTTTGGCTCAAATAACACAACAGTTCGGGTAAGGACACACTCAAACCTCCCTCCAGCCAGGAACTTGGGGATCAGCAGCCACCGGGCCTTTCGCGCGGGGCTTGTGGCCTAAGGCAAGGACCCCAGCAGCAGAGTCCTCAGAGCAAAGGCCCCAAAGGCACCACGAAATCACAGTCGCCTGCGGTGGCAGGGCTACCGACCTGCTGGCTGATCGGGAAGGCGGCAGGCGGTTGTAGGCCCACTCCTTGGTGCCCTGGCACTAAAAGCTAGATGGCCTGGACCAAGTCTCCTTCCCCTGACCACAAAACGAGGGTTTACTAAAACCGAGGGTGGAACTAGGTCTGGGGCTTCCGCCAAAGCAGTCAGAACATCGGTTTAAAACGCCGATCCTCTGACCTACCCGCCCCCCCCGCCACGCCGTCCTAACTGCCATTTTGGGGAGCGGGATCTGAGAAGCTGTATTTTGCAGAGCGCGCGACCCCACCCCCGAGCCGTGGTACTAATTAGCGCCCGAATTTGAGAAAACCGGGCTCGCCGAGATCCCCCCGTGCTACTCAAAGTTCTGGGCAAGGCAAGGAGAGGCCGGGAGCCCCGCACGATCTCCCGCCGCCGCCCGCGTTCCCCGAGGAGCGCCGCGGGGGAGGCCGGGCCTCAGCCCGGGAGGGACTCGGGCGGTGGTCATTAGCTGGCCGCAGCGGCGGGGCCGAGCCCGCCAGACCGAGCCCCAGGACCCCAGCGCCGGGTGGCGCCGCCCCCCGCAGACCCCAGACCCCCGAGCAGGGCGGGGACGCGGCACAGGCGGCGCCCGGGCCTGCACACCGGAGGGCCCCGAGAGCCGCTCGGCCGGGCCCCTGCCGTCCCTCACCGCAGGCCGGGGGCGCACACCGCGCGCGGGACCCCGGGGCCGGGGACATGCCGCGCCAGCCCGCCCGAGCACCCCAACCCGAGCAGGGTCCCCGAGATCACCTGAAGCGCGGCGCGTGTCCTCCGGTCCGCACGTGGTGCCCAAGCAGCCCGCAGCTCCCACATGCCCGGGCAAGCCCCGCTCCGGCTCCCTGCCCATTGGCTCGCCGAACCGCAGCGCCCGCCTAACGTTTCTTCTGATTGGCCGGGAGTCTGGCTCGCGGCGGATAGGTGCAGGGCAGCAGAGGGGGCGGGGATTCCCAAAGGGGTGTGGCTTGTGCCAGGAGCCGGGCCGTCCCCCAAGAAATTGTAAACCAACCCGAGCGGAGCGTGACTCCCGGGTCCCGTTCCCGTGTGGGTCCCCCAGCCCCAATCCACCCCGCTGCCTGGATCGGGATGTGGCCTCCTACGAGCTGCGTGCCACCAAACGCGGAATGGCTTACAGAAGGCACACCCACATTGGCAGAACGGGAATTAATAGCCTCTACCTCCTCTAGGTCATGGGGATTCAGGGAAATAATAGACATGAGGGGCACTAAAGAAAGATTTTTAAAGTCAGGTTTGCTCCTTCGGCGCTAGTCTTTCATTTATCCCCTTGCAATACTTTCTTCCTGAGTATTAAGTTTCTACTGTGGGCTCAGCCCTGGGATACACAGAATAAGCACAATCCTTCAATCTCCAGTTGCTCAAGGTCTCGCCGGGTAGTAGATAGTTCACTGCAACGTGAAAAATAATAAGAACAATAATAAACAGTTCACATTTATTATGTGAGCACTACTGTGTGGCAGGCAACATACATATATAATCTGCACAAGAACCCCATGAAATATGTACTATTGTTTCTGTTTTACAGTTAAGGAAACTGACATTAAAAGAAATCAAGAGGAAACAGCCAAGGTCCAAACAAAGACCCTTCCTTACCAAAGCAGTCTGATTCCTCCTAGCTCCCTCTTGCAAGCA